AATGTATTATCCAATAATAGTTAAGTTACCATAATATTATAAAGTAACTTAAAATATAACACGTATCAAATCTATATATATTTTTATTATTTAAATATAAAACATATACATCAGATTAAATATTACTATCCAAGTTACCATAAAAGTAATTAATAAATTACTTTCCCTTTTATATATGTATATAATATATATCTATATATATACATGCACAACTATCTATGGATAATAATCCATACACATCCAACCTCCTATCCAAGTAGTCCATGTGACTCAATTAGTTGGCCCATTACTACTAACTATAATTATAAAAGAAAAATAAAATAAAATAATAAAAGAAAAGAAAACATTTAATTTACAATTAATCAAAACACCATTTAAGCACATAATCTAATTAAACAATTAACACATAGACAAATACAAATAATATATAGACACATAATCAAATAATCAAGTAATACCTGATTCAATTAAACACATAAGCAATTAGTCAAATAATTAATTAAATAATTAAAAATACAATTAAAACAAATAAATAAATACCGAGACTATCCTTTTAAAATTAGGGGTATTACAAGGCGCCTCCTAGGCGTTCGGGTTTTCGCAAACACTTTTCAAAACATTTACCAAAAATCATTTTTCTTTCATTTTCAAATCTTTTTTCCATTCATTCCCAATGCTTATGCATGAATGTACCATGCCATCTCATGTCATGTCAATATTCATTATCATGCTTTTAATTTAAGTTTAACCACCTAACATACTTTACAATAACACAAACAATGTATCGTGCTTCCAAGCAAATAAAAATTTTAGCATGTTAAACATAAAATATATGAAAATAAATCCACATAAGCATGCTTCTCACAACAATTCCACAAAACCACTTACACATATATCCTCTACACATAAAATTTCACATAGATATACAAATCATTCAAGAGTTAATCACAATTAAGCATGCATTTCACACAAATCAACTTATACACATAATCATGAGCTTCATATACAACAACTAAATCATTTTAGAGGCAATCATCTCAAATTAAGTATGCTTGGTTATAATTAATAAAGAAAAATTCACAAAGGAACAAGAATTTCATGGATTAGAAACCCCTACCTCCAATTAAGCAAAAATCCCCAATTCCTAGCCCCAATTTCGAAATTCCAAGGTGCACCAAACTAGAAATTTCTCGGATCAAATCGTAGATCTCATTGTGCTATGCAATTGCCGCAAACGACACTTAAAAACTCCAAAAGATGAAGGAGAAATCAAAGTTGGAAAATTGGAAATTAAAATAAAAAGAAAAATCTAGAAAGTGAAGGAGAGAGAGAGAGACTTGCGGGAAAAGGGAGGAGAATGGAGGCCAAATATGGCCTCTTGGCCACTTAATATGGTGGTGGGTCCCACCACAAAAAATAATTTCCTTTTTGATTTATTTTCCACCATAAATTATACATACGAGCTCCAATTATATCATAGCCACACAATTTAGCACTTTAACAATTTACTTAGGCACAAAAATAATAATGCATGGTATGCAAATGACCCGAGACACAACTCCTGTACACAACAACTCTGGTAACAGGTCCCACACGGGACAGTCAGGCCCGAAAAATTGAAAAAAATACAATAATAACAATCCTTGCATTTCAAAGAGTCGTGAACTCAATGAAATGCTCTAATTAACTCTCGGACACACCCGGCACACCCCACGGTGTCCGGCACGTAAAACGAGAAAAGACAAAAATACCCTCGAAAAATAAAAAAATTCCAGAAATTGAAAAATGGTAAAATTCAGAAACATTACAAAAACTCAGCCCGAACATGAACCCGATTTGTGAACTGTAAGCCCAAATTTCAAAAAATTAGGTTGGGGTTGGGTTGGGCTAGGTTAGCCTGCCCAGGTAACAGCTTTAGTTTCTAATCACTATATCACATGTAAAAGGGCTACCCTCATTTTCTCTCTAAAAACTCTCTCTTTATTAAAAGACACCTTTCTTTTTCTCTCTAAACTCTCTTTCAAGACTACTTTTTGGCCACCATGTAACTCTTCCATATCCTTGATTGACACTTACAATACCATATGCTTTGTTGAGGAGAATAAGCTCGGAAAATGACTTTCAGATGATTAATTGGTAAGTTGTTTTGATTATGTTTTGGGCAATTATTTTCCTTCATAAAAAATTTACTTTGAATTTGAGACTACCAAATATTGAAAAATACATAAAATATTTTTCAGAAAATGTTTTACGCTCAAACAAACGGAGCCTAAGTGTATTAAGTATTGGGGTAAATTACGATCCTTTCTTAAAGTTTGGAAAAATTACACATTGTAAATCGTTCAACGTTTATTACTTTGACCTTGCTTGAGATTTGGCTATATACTCAATAACACCCTTAGCCTTTTTTTTTTTTCTTTTTTCGGTAGACTTATTGACTAATTTTTTTTAATGACAATTTTACCCTTCTTTTGTATAAAATGTAATATAACCTAGGGTAAAGTGCAAGAAACCCCCTCTAATTATGGACCAAGTGCAACTAACCCCTGGAACTACAAATAACCCCCTTCAACTATAAATTTTGTGCAGTCAAAGGACAAATAAGGTTTTCCTGTCCACTTCTATAGCCGGAAGTTTAAAAAGACCTTTTTACCCTTTAGATAAATCATTGTCTTGTAACCTTGAGTTATTATTATAAAATTGACTAAATACATGGGACCAGTGTAATCACAAACACCAATTAAAATTAGACACCTCAGAAACTTCACAACTATCAAAGATCATCAACTTAATCTTTTTTCTTTTTTTTTTTCTTTCTCAAAACCAACATTACACACAGATGTATACGTAAATATATTCTTCCTTCTTCTTTCCCCAATCTCCACAATGGACGGCCGACACAACAATCTCTTTCTCTCCACTACAATCTCCTCCACTATCTAAGCCTTTATTTCAGTCTGGTGGTGACAACGGCTAAATGCTCAACTAAAAATAATAAAGGCCTAATAATCGGGATGGCTATCTGGTAATTGGGATGGCTATCAGAATATGTGATGGTGTTTAGATGACGAGACCTATGACAACGGATAATTCTTGGACACTTTCTTTCATCTTTTTAATCTTGATTTTACTGGAGAACTCAGCTAAATCCCTGTTTCTTTCAAAATAATTTGATCTTGAACCATGGTGTTTTTGAACTAAAAAGTTATTTACCAATTCATGGGGTTTTGCGATTTGGTTTGTTTACGACGATTTTGTGAATCAAATCTTGTGATTGGGTTGGCAAGAGGTTGAGAATTTTGCAATTGGGTTTGCTTGTGATTGGATTTCGTCAATCAGTTCTAGTGATTCAAGGGGTTTATATGGAAGATGTAACGTTGCCATGAATATGGATAATGTGTACAGAGCTATATATATATATATAGGAAAGGATGGGAGTTCACTGTTCAATTAACATATTTTTTATTGACAGTATTTATCTGCATAATGAAGAAGATGAATATATATATTAACTATATGAATCTATATAGAGAGACAAAAAGGTAATTGTCATTTAATATAAGGGTACTATGGTCTTTTACTTTCATAAGGGTTGTATGATCATTTAATTAAATTTGGATAGTCACGTGAGAGATAAGTGTGTAAAATTCGTAGGCCAGTCACCTGATTGGGTAAATTGCAACAAAAGTCCTAAGTTCAGGAGATTTTCTACCAATTTGGTATTCCAGGGTGGTTTCTTGCTCAAATGGGCATAGTTGAAGGGAATTTTATGCACTTTACCCTATAACCTACTATTATATGGACAATACTTGCCTACTCACTAATAAGCAAGTTAATTCTACTGACCGATTATGTGTTCCAATAATAAGTGGACATATCAACTTTAATGACAAATTCAAAAAAGTAATAAAAAAAGATAATAAAGTGGGATTGACCCGTTTCAATTGGGTAACTGATCACCTGCATTCTATTTTTATTTTTCTCTCTCTTTCACCCTCTCCCAGTTTCTCCTTCTTCTTCCTCTCACAAGACGATAATCAATCAATAGGCCTGGTATTGTTAATTCTCTTCCTACTGCATCTTCAATGGGTTTGTAGATGTACCTCAATTGAATTACATAATTTATGTTATTTATAACATCTAATGTGATATATAAAATATTTTTTCCCAGTAAATAAACAAATCAATCAAATTTTTTTTTTTTTTTTTCGAAAATTAATCAACCAATTTTTTTTACTAACATGGTTGTAGCAGAAACTTTAAAAACTCTGTCTGTTATTACATCAGTTGCAGATCTCCAAACATATAGTATATTCAACAATTCATAGCTTATATACAACAAATTCATACTAGAAAGCATATATGATCATGATAATAGTGATCAAATAGGATCAGAAGTTCAATTTGTTACAAAGTCGTGAGAAGAAGCGGGAAAAGTAACACCACAGCCCACCCTTGCCTATTGAGTGATACGAAGCCCGAGAGATTTTGCAAAAGTGTTCGCCTATTAATTAATGATGTTCATGAAAGATGAGAGGAAGAAGAATAATGGAGAAAGGATGGCGTGAATTTGGGAAGGGGGCAAAAGTGTGAGAAAAGAAATACATAGGGTTTGAATACAGGTTACCCAATTAAAGCGGGTCGATCCGGCTTTATTCTATTTTTTTATTATTGTTTTTTTATTTGATCATTAAAGTTGATGTGTCCACTTATTATTGGAACATGTAATGATAAACCTACTCACTAGTGAGTAGGCAAGTATTGTCCTTATTATATAATATAAGGACATTACTAACTTTTCACACTTAAAAGTCACTATTAAGACGCCGAACAATGGTAATTTAGGAAAGGTCAAAGTAATAAATTATCAGTCTCTTGTGTATAATTTACTCAAACATTAGGGAGGCAAATGTAATTTTCACTTAGCATTATTATGAGTAATAGGAAACGACGTCGTTAGTTGGGGATTGCCTCTCGAGTAAGATGCGCAGTGCGAAGTGAGATGGAATAAATAACAGAGAAATCTGAAAATGAAATTGATGGAAGAAGAAGAGAAGAAAATAACCGAAGAAGAAGAAGAACAAGTATGGTGGAGTTGGGGAGCAGGAACGGAGGGACAGTTAGGGACAGGAAGGTTTCAGGACGAACATCTCCCTCAACTCCTTCCTTCTCTCTCCTCTTCCGGACCCATCTCTCTCCTCTCTTGCGGCGGCGCTCACGTTATCGCCCTCACCACCAGTACCAACTACTTTCTCTCTCTATAAATATATATATATATATATATGTAGAAATAAATATATATATTTTTTCTGATCAATCAATTAATTGAGAACTGGGTATGAGTTTTTGGGTGTTTCTTTGCAGGTGGGAAGGTGCTGACATGGGGAAGAGGCACGTCTGGTCAACTGGGTCATGGGGATTTGGTTAACAGCTTACAACCAAAGCCTTTGGAGGTTTTCAAAAGCACTGTTGTCACTCATGTTTCTGCTGGGTGGAACCACTCTGGGTTTGTTTCAGGTTTCCTCCCTGTTTATTTATTTGAGACATTAACTTGAAATTTTACATGTGAAATTGATACCCATTATCATAATTTCCACTGTGTAATCACACAAAGTACTCATGATCACGATTCTTTATTTTATCAGAGAATTTGCAAACTTGGTGTATAAGAGATTACAAATTTATGTGGTTTCTAATTTATTATTTCTAATATTGGTGTGTGTGTGTGTGTGTATATTTGATGAATGTATTATGTATTAGCACAATTTCTGTGATTCTAATTAATTAACTCTAATATTGGTGTGTGTATATATATACCCACAAGAAGAAGTCTTTTTCCCAACTACTTGGGGTCGGCTACATGAATCCTATGTTTCCATTTTGCTCTGTTTAAGGCCATAACTTCAGTCAATTCACATGCTATCATATCCTTCATTATTAATTCTACACTTGGACTTTGGTCTTCCTCTTCCCCTAATATTACCCTCAATGTGGATGGTTGATGGATACCCATATGGCATAAATATATTTTTGTTTGTTTTGCTATTATTTTTATTCTTCTTGGTGCATTTTTTTTAGTACTTTTTAGACTTAATTTCTGAAGCATTATGTACCTCGTTGCACCAACAGTCCCAGTTATTCTTATGTATCCCTTTAATCAGGGGATCAGTTTTTGCCTCCCTTTAACTTGGTCTTGTATTTGTTCTCAGATACCGGATGCCTTTTTACATGTGGAGATGGATCATTTGGTCAACTTGGGCATTGTGATTACAAGTCCCATTCTTTTCCGGTAAAGGTCTCATACTTTGCTTCAAAGCATGTTGAGCAGATAGCATGCGGTATGCGCCATTCACTAGTCCTGTTGAAAGGTATACATTGTATCGTACTGCCAGCTAATAGGTCATTAATGTGAAGATGCTATTGCATAGGATGTTTATATTCTTGTATTATTCCAAAAGCATTGATATGACACTTAGTACATCTAAACGGCATGTATACCAGAAACGAATAGTATATAGTGTTTTTTTCCTTGAGAAATTACACTTTGTTATAATCTTGGATCTGAGACGTAATATGTTTTCGGGATAAGAAATAATACGTTACTGGAACTAAAATGAAAGGAGATTGACTGTCTTCTCGCACCAGCATGTAAGAAACAGATTTTAACCAAGTATTTAGAGTTCTTATGAAATAGCATGAGGATTTAAGAACACCAAATGAACAAGAAAAAAAAAAGGAAGTAAAGATGGAATTGCTGGGAATAAATAAGGATGTAAATGCTTTCCTGCCATACCAGTTAGGTTCTGACAGAATATCTTAAAGGGAGGGGTGGGTTAGGGGTTAATTAACTTAATTACCTTTGGCCACAAACAAAACTACAAAATTACTGGAGATCAATTAGGAATAGTGTATCATTATCCATGGCATTTTGAATGGTGATATGTGGGGTCAACTACTTTCTTGTTCAAAGTATTGTTTATTCGTGAACGTTTGAGCAGAAACCGAACTGATCTATTATGTGTATATTGTCAATATGGACTTGTGATGAATTGATGAGAAGTCTTAGAATAGCATAATTAGGATGGATCTGGTTTTGGCATTGATGCAAAGCTTTAAAAGTTATAAGTAAAGAAAGATAACATCAAAAAATAAATAATTCATTCCATTTAATTTTGCTGTTAAAATTCTTTCTAATGTAGTTGTCAGAATTCTCAATGCCAAATTTACAGAATCTTCGCATATTTTGTGATTCTTTGGAAGGTTGCTGAATATACACAAAAGAAATCCCTATTTGTTGGCTATGGAAAACTTGTATCTGATTTCAAGTGAACCGGATCAATCACTAACATTTGAGAGGAATCTGATGTAGGTCATTCAAGAGATCAAGTATACGGATTTGGGTCTGGTAAGCGCGGTCAACTGGGTATTTGCAAGGATAAAATTGGATCAATAAATGTTCCTCAAGTTACTCTTGGGTTGGGACATGTCAAAATCACTAGCATTTGTGCAAATGGAGATCACAGCGCAGCTTTATCTGGTGAGTCCCTTAAATTATCTCTTGATTTAAATGTGGCTATAAGAGCAGATACAAATGTGGTGATCGTGAGGCCCACCATCTGCTATCTGCTGCTTGTAATTACGGACTGACAAATTAAAGAACTTTTGAATGGGGAATGCATTTTTTAAAGTTCAGGGAATGTGATGAGTTATCAAGAATTATCATTAGTACTAGGTCATGATTTGCTGTCCCTGTATTAATTGCTTTCTTTGCTGTTGTTTCATCTGGCTGTCACACAAGCTGATGGAAATCTATACATTTGGGGAAGAGGGTTTAGCGGCACTTCAAATGATTACTATCCCCAGTGTTTAACTTCATCCTTGTCTTTCACCCAGGCTGCTCTTGGATGGAATCATGCTTTAGGATTAACAGGTATGTCATACTTTTACCATTCTACCAGTTCTTTTACCAAAAACAGGTGAATGACTTGTTATTTTGCAACTTCGGGGCATCCTAAGCAGGTGATGGGGAAGTGCATATGCTTGGTGGCGACCGCCATGGAGAGCTCAGCAAGTCTCAGAAAATGACCCCAGTGAAGCATTTGTCAGGTAGTGCATTTTGATATTTAGGAGTGTGTAAAGTGTAAGCGTCTTTAGATTATTCATCTCATTTGACAAATATTATAAGGGTATTAGGACACGTGTACTTGACCATTTGATGAAGTTTACCAGGTGCGTCCATGATCATTTGATAACGTTGTCAAGGATGTTGTGACCCTTAACAAGATGATTTTAACCATCCAATCAATATTCAGATAATGAATCAAGGAATATATACCATTTGCTTAGTCATTTTTGGAAATTTCCTTTTTGAGTACATGTAATTTATGGTCCATTTGGTAGGACGGAAGGGTGGGAGGAAGGAAAGGAAGAGGGGAGGGATGGAAAGGTTTTTCATTGATCATTTGGTAGGACCATAGGAAGGAGAAAGGAAGGGAGGAAGGAATATCCTTCATTTCAGATCCACCATAAGTGTTCCTTCCACATGGGAAGAAAGGAGGGTTGAAAGGCCTCCTTCAACTTTTTCACATTTTGGACTTTAAATAACACCATCCCTTAAAATTGTAAGTGTGTAATGATAAATTTCTGTAAAACCCCCTTCCTTTCTCCCTTCTCTCTTTCCTCAACTGAACATTGGGAGGGAAATTCCCCTTCTCCTATGGATGTTTTTCCTATCCTTCCTGTCTTTTTTTTTTTTTTTTTTCTCCCAATTCTCCCTCTCAAATGCAATAGAGCATCAGTGTCAAAATGTGTGCTTTGTACTGCAGAAGGTTCAAAGGAAGCCATTATGGAGAAAATTCCCGGTATTGATATGATTAAAGTTCTAGAGATTGCAGCAGGAGCTGAGCACTCGGCTCTAATAACAGGCAAGATCTTATTCTCTATGTATTGTTTCTTTTTAATCTTGGTCATATGCTGATTTATTTTCGTTGTGGACTTCCTGCCATTTTGCAGAGAATGGATTAACAATGACATGGGGTTGGGGTGAACATGGTCAGCTTGGCTTGGGAAATACAAGTGATCAAAGTAACCCTCAAATGGTCAGACTCGGCCACATATGTACAAACAGACACACCACGTTCAAAGTTTACTGTGGAAGTGGGTTCACATTTGCTGTAAGGAAAGATCGTCTCCCTTCCCGGACTTGACTTATCTGCATTAGGAATGACAACCTTATTTGATGTCTCTTTAGAATCCCAAATAGCCATGAAAGGAACTAAGGAATAGAATTCTTTCACATACGATTCGATTCATCTACTCCTTTTGTTTTTCGTGTAAAAATATCTTGAAAGGACGGATTCTCACTTTTTAATGGGAAAATATGATTGAGGGCCACAGTTCTGTGAAACTTGGATGGCATGCATCTCCTACGGAATGAAGTCGTTGGAGCTGGGTTTTTTTTCCAGGCAACCAGTCTTAAAAGATGAAGAAATTGCATATTTTGTGACTGAAGTGGATGACCTGTTCGTCTTGTTGCAGCAATTGTAGACCGAAGAACTGTTCAATACTCTTAAAATGTATTATTACTTTTACTGTAATGACTCCAGCTTTTGTGGACTTAATGAAAGTGAATGGTAATATACTTATCAAGGCCTGACTCCTATTAGATGCTACTGTTGTACCATCAAGAGGATTTGCTGCCAAAATATCTAGCAGTAGATCCTTTATATTTAATGTCAACTGTGCATATAAGTGGCATAGTTGATAAAATGCCCAGCTCCCCGAGGTGGTATGCCCGTGTTCGAGTCCCCCTAATTTGCTATTATAAGAAAAGAGAAAAAGAAAAGAATATTATGAAACAGCACAAAGAGTTAAAGCAAACTTTACAAAGTTAACAAAATAATTCATCCTTGTTCTAATATTTTCTTCTAACCTAAAGGAACAAATAGCAATAATGATACCAGATAATCTTTTTTTTTAAAAGGTTTGAATCTGATAATATTTTGAATACAAGAAGCCAAAGTATCTAGCAGTAGATCCGTTATATTTAATGTCAACTGTGCATATAAGTGGCATAGTTGGTAAAATGCCCAGCTCCCCGAGGTGGTATGCCCGTGTTCGAGTCCCCCTAATTTGCTATTATAAGAAAAGAGAGAAAGAAAAGAATATTATGAAACAGCACAAAGAGTTAAAGCAAACTTTACAAAGTTAACAAAATAATTCATCCTTGTTCTAATATTTTCTTCTAACCTAAAGGAACAAATAGCAGTAATGATACCAGATAATCTTTTTTTTTTTTTTTTGAAAGGTTTGAATCTGATAATATTTTGAATACAAGAAGCCAAAGTATCTAGCAGTAGATCCTTTATATTTAATGTCAACTGTGCATATAAGTGGCATAGTTGGTAAAATGCCCAGCTCCCCGAGGTGGTATGCCCGTGTTCGAGTCCCCCTAATTTGCTATTATAAGAAAAGAGAAAAAGAAAAGAATATTATGAAACAGCACAAAGAGTTAAAGCAAACTTTACAAAGTAAACAAAATAATTCATCCTTGTTCTAATATTTTCTTCTAACCTAAAGGAACAAATAGCAGTAATGATACCAGATAATCTTTTTTTTTTTTTTTTTTTTTTGAAAGGTTTGAATCTGATAATATTTTGAATACAAGAAGCCAAAGTATCTAGCAGTAGATCCTTTATATTTAATGTCAACTGTGCATATAAGTGGCATAGTTGGTAAAATGCCCAGCTCCCCGAGGTGGTATGCCCGTGTTCGAGTCCCCCTAATTTGCTATTATAAGAAAAGAGAAAAAGAAAAGAATATTATGAAACAGCACAAAGAGTTAAAGCAAACTTTACAAAGTAAACAAAATAATTCATCCTTGTTCTAATATTTTCTTCTAACCTAAAGGAACAAATAGCAGTAATGATACTAGATAATCTTTTTTTTTTTTTTTTTTTTTTTTTTTGAAAGGTTTGAATCTGATAATATTTTGAATACAAGAAGCCAAAGTATCTAGCAGTAGATCCTTTATATTTAATGTCAACTGTGCATATAAGTGGCATAGTTGGTAAAATGCCCAGCTCCCCGAGGTGGTATGCCCGTGTTCGAGTCCCCCTAATTTGCTATTATAAGAAAAGAGAAAAAGAAAAGAATATTATGAAACAGCACAAAGAGTTAAAGCAAACTTTACAAAGTAAACAAAATAATTCATCCTTGTTCTAATATTTTCTTCTAACCTAAAGGAACAAATAGCAGTAATGATACCAGATAATCTTTTTTTTTTTTTTTTTTTTGTGAAAGGTTTGAATCTGATAATATTTTGAATACAAGAAGCCAAAGTATCTAGCAGTAGATCCTTTATATTTAATGTCAACTGTGCATATAAGTGGCATAGTTGGTAAAATACCCAGCTCCCCGAGGTGGTATGCCCGTGTTCGAGTCCCCCTAATTTGCTATTATAAGAAAAGAGAAAAAGAAAAGAATATTATGAAACAGCACAAAGAGTTAAAGCAAACTTTACAAAGTAAACAAAATAATTCATCCTTGTTCTAATATTTTCTTCTAACCTAAAGGAACAAATAGCAGTAATGATACCAGATAATCTTTTTTTTTTTTTTTTTTTTTGAAAGGTTTGAATCTGATAATATTTTGAATACAAGAAGCCAAAGTATCTAGCAGTAGATCCTTTATATTTAATGTCAACTGTGCATATAAGTGGCATAGTTGGTAAAATGCCCAGCTCCCCGAGGTGGTATGCCCGTGTTCGAGTCCCCCTAATTTGCTATTATAAGAAAAGAGAAAAAGAAAATAATATTATGAAACAGCACAAAGAGTTAAAGCAAACTTTATAAAGTTAACAAAATAATTCATCCTTATTCTAATATTTTCTTCTAACCTAAAGGAACAAATAGCAGTAATGATACCAGATAATTTTTTTTTTTTTTTTTTTTTTTTTTGAAAGGTTTGAATCTGATAATATTTTGAATACAAGATTTTACATTTAAAAAAAAAAAAATGAAAAAAGAAAAGAAAAGAGAATAAAAGAAAAATACAAAGGTGGCTACATATACCAATTTGCTATGCCAAAATAATCTAGAGAAAATTATCATCAACCAACAGCTTCTGATGGCTACAAATATCCTGCAGAACATACCCATCCTCTTTTAACTGTTGTCCCCTCTTCAGATAAAAAGAGGTTGCATGCCTATTGTGTGCATTTAAGTGACGACAACCAGGTTATTCTCATACCCATTGTTTCGAACTACAGGGCGTAGAGGATCAGTCTTCCATGTGCCATCAACAATGAACTTAATCTGCAGGTATGGTAGTAGTAACTGACATGCCCACCATTCAAAAGGTACTGAAAATTGTGGAATCGTGACAGTTAATAAAAATGACCTACCTCGTATCTACCCGGATACAACTTCAGGCACACTGAGAAAATACCTTTACTTGATTTCTCCATCTTTCTCTGCAAGATAAAGAGTGTAAAACAAAATGCATATCAAGAAAAGCCATCCAAAAGCACTTGGAGTTGAAACCAAAACATTGGTAATTAAATTCTTTGACATCTACCCATCCTAAAAAAAAAGTTCACTGCAATATCTATGCTAATGAAATTCATGAGAAACAAAACAATAAACAGAAGCATACTTCACCCATTGAAGTTCTCGTAAAATTTTGTTATTAAAAGGCTTTCAAAATCTGAATTACTGTGAGATTCAATTTATATTAACTTAGGCAATCATGACCGATAGCATCACCAACTCCAACAGCAGCTTTATGGCAATCTAAGAACCATTTAGTGGTCCACTTGAGCAACTAAAATATTGGACTGGATCACTCTTATCAAATCCTAAAATACATAATGGAACTTAGTGTTTACATTGACAAGTTGCAAAACTACTATAAAAAATGACTTCTCTTTCCCCTTCATAAGATTTATTGAAGTGGGTAGGTTGTATTTAACCTAGTGGTATCTTCTCTACATTTCAGAGTGGAACGTCAAGGGTTCAAGTCCCCGTGCAGGCAGAATTGGCTGTGTGAGTTACTTGCCAAGGGGAAAAAAAAAGGTGGGTCTAATATGACCCTGATGAGTTTGAAAAGGCTTACACTAACTTCTGTAATTTACTTCATCAGTTTCAATTTCCAGCATTCTGAAACAACATCTCAACAAAAATTTTACTACAACTACTTGTGTCTGACTACGACATTACATTCTGTCATCCTCTTGGGCCATATCTTTTGTTAAACCACAGCCCATTTCATCCTTCCATGATATCAAGCCATTTTGGCAACTTGAACTGGATTGTTTTTCCTTCATAGTGCAGTTATCTTATTTTGCACATGACCGACCACATTGTCTTAGACTGCTCTCACAGTCAGATTTTAAAATTCAGTTTCACTAAATCACTAGATTATAGGAGTAACGAGGTCCCCAATAATTGAGCATGTGTTGAGGGGTTTATTGGGACATTGAGTCTTGTGTTGACAAACTCCTCCACGTACTAGGGTGATTGAACGAAATTTAAGTTTTCGAGTTTATAACTGAAGACGATTATAATGGAGCATCAACAACGATCATGTGCATGATTCATCATGCTCAATCACATGTTTAAGAAAAGGTAAGATCAGATGAACAGGCCAGTGGCCTAGCGGGATCAGGCCCCTACTTTCCAAAGGGAGGTCAGGGGTTCAAGCCTCAATGGAGACATGTGTGTGTGAATACCAACTAAGAGAGAGAGAGAAAAAAAAAAAAAGAGATAATATCAGACCTTAGCAGACATACGAACTAAATTTAGATTAATTTATTAGATAGTTGGACTACCCCTGATTTGGGATCGAGCATTTTATAGGCTTTAAATCAGGATAATCAAAGTTTTCCAAAATAGGGAATTTTGATCTATAAACACTCAGATGGATTGATAGAACTTGTGTTTAATTTTTTAAAAGGAAAACAGTATAGAAAGATCGATAACTTTGATTGATCAGTCCTTCAATCGAAAAAAAATAAGCAACAATTAATAGCCTCGATCAATTTAATACTTCAGTAGGAGGCTACTGGAGTAGCTCAATCGATCATACCTGAAGACTGATTGATCGCACATGAAGACCTACAGTTTGACCATTGGCAGTCAGTTGTTAGAATTGTATGAATTTAATATTTTTAACGTGATATATCTTTCCTATTTTGTTCACAAGTCTGTGCTTAAGAGAGAGAGATAGAGAGAGTGACGGAGATTTGATCAATCTAGGATTTTAGATAGTTCACCATAATTCTATGACAGAAAATCAAAGCCAGTAGCAAATTGAAGAACAGCAACCATCAATTAACTGAATGTTTTCCAAAGATAAAGAAGCAATATAACAATCAAGGAGAACATTTTTTGTTGAGGAAGAAGTCAGTTGATAAAAAATAGCAGTGTTCAGGGTGAACATGCATGAGTTACATCAGACGTAACTAGGTGATTCTAGGGAATAGAATCCGATACCTAGTATTATAAACCTTTCTTTAAAATGGATTGTTTGAGTGTGGACAAGTTCCATGATTTCCCCTTTCTAGAGTTTTTCACATAAAATTAGTCTCTATACTTTTGATTTACTGCTTTTCATGTGTGGATGCTTAACTTCTTGTGATTGGCTTAGTTATTGAGACACATTGATAAAATAAAATTAATTAAAATAAATTTGAAATTAAGTTAATGATTGTTGAATTTTTTTAGACCTACTCACTCTCTTTTAGGTATAACTAGTACCGTGAATACTCTGACGTACCGTATCAGAGCTTAGGGTGCAGGTCCTTCCCTCAGGGCTGACTGGGTACAAACTCAACCTTCAATATTATTTGCACAAAAACAGCTGCCCTTGTACTAGATCCATGTTCTAACACTAAGCAGCCCAAGAGGAAAAACTAGATTTACTCCAACTACTCTTTTTTTTTTTTTTTGATAAGTTACTCCAACTACTCTTAACCAACTTGTGTGAGAGAAACTAAATTTTAGTAATGCAAAAGTAATTCCAAACAATGATGGAACCACAAGGCTTATACTTCATACCTTTACAATTTTAAGAGGAGAAGTACTAATTATATATAACTAAATTATTTCAAGACGATATCAAACCTGAGTGGTCCAACCATCAAAAGATCCAGTTAATAGGACCTCTGAGCCTGAATTAGGCCAAACTATGAAGGTAGTACGAAGAAGTTGTAAAGCTCGACGAGCACCATCAACCCTCTTCTGCTTCTCTTCCACCATCCTTTGTGCATCACTGTAGAAGGATAGTAAAAGAGTGACAAGTCAAAAGAGGAAAACAAATCCAAATGACATGTCATTAAATGAGCAGAAAACATGCATACATTATTGCTAGCGCCATCTTCCCTTCTAAAACTGCCAACTTTGCACGTATTGACCGCAATCTGTCCTGGCCATTCATGATCTCAGTTTCCTGGAACTCCCAAGCATCAGAAAGCTTCCGTAAATTATTGGAGGAGCTTCCATGGCCCTGATGAAGAACTCAGAGGAGGATCAAAGAAGAGATCTAATAAGAACCCAACCAAGTTTTCAAAGAATCAAAACAAAATGATAACTTTTCTACAGAAAAATGGAACAGTAACTGAATTTTCCGAGACTCATAAAATGCAACACAACTTTATCTTCTACCCAGTAAAATGTACACGTTTCTTCCATTAGTAAATGCTCTTTTCTTTCTTCCTCTCTCCTTTTCTTCTACGATTTTTATAAAGAAAATATCTTCTTTTATAATATTTATATGATAATTCGATGGCCAAATTATCTATATGACCAGAACCATAATTCTGATTTCTTCACGCGCGCGCGCGCGCAGAGAGAGAGAGAGAGTGACAATTCTTTATGTGAAACAGAACCAACCACTATTACATGGATTGTTAAGACTTCAAATACCATGGCCAGACCATCAAACAAAAATTATATGAGAAAACAGCACTAAATGTGTGACTACTTGCCACAAAAAAAAAATGTTTATGTTGAATATGTATTGATGCAGCTGCTATGGATTTAAAACTTGAATTCGTTCAACCATTATTAGGAATCAAGGACTTTCTATTTCTTTTTTCTTTTTATTTTTTAACCCTGGATTTTAGGAATCAAGGAGTTGACCACAAAGTACCTGCTCACCGTATCTAGGTACCAAAAAAAATCATTTATCAGAGAACATTTTGTTTTACAAGTTTATTTTATGACCAACTAGAAAAATGCCTGAAGGAAGTGGGGTGCATGTGGACATAATATGTATATAGCAACAAACTCAAACAAACTCTCATAAAAAACACAAATCTAAAAACTCTACAAAACTATATAGAATATCCTGATATTAACTTCCCTGAGATCCAGCCAAAACCTAACCAGCTCAACCACTGAAACAGGCATGAGCCGGGAACACACCAAAAGGAAATAAAATCATGCTTCAGAGGTTTCTTGCCACCTTTGAACAAACAAGGAGATGATCAACCAACTCTTCTGCCCTTTACACATGCAGCACCAAATCAAGACTACCAAAAGCACTCGTCAATTAACGTAAGCACACTTTCATGTCAAAGTGAATGAGAAATTTTTATGGTATCTGATGAGCGCTGAAAAGTGCGCATTTAAACCGCTTAAGCTTAGGTATTCTAGGACCTTTATCTATCTTACTTTCCCATTTTAGACGTTATTGTCCTTTTTAGGTGCTTATCTCCAAAATAAGCTAATTCAGCCAAATAAGAGCTTAAAAGAAGCTAACTCAAGCTGGATGGAAGAAAGGAGCAAAGTGGAAACAGAATGAAGCAAAGTGTGGAAATCAGCATGTTCGATCGATCTCAACAATACTTCGATCGATCGAAAGTTCATCGATCTAGACTCTCCAAGACGGATCCAAGCTCTTTTGTCCTTATCCAAAGATCCCACAAAGTTCGATCGATCCAACAATTCTCAGATCGATCGAAAAGATTCCATCTTATTCTGTTGAACCACCCCACCTACCACTTTTGTTTCTTTGCCCAAAATATCTCAGATCTGTCCTTATCCAAAAAGGCGCCGCCATGAGAGGATCGATCCAGCCAAAGTTTGATAGATCTCAGCCAAGTTCAATCGATCTCAGCATAGGTTCGATTGATCGGACCCTCTCAAGTGCGAATTAAATTAATTTCCAGCTCATTAAAAGTTGTCTCATTGTGCAATCATTGGAGGAGCCCTTGTGTACGAGCCTAGACCATTGGGTGTGACATCTGAGCTACCTATATAAGGATTATGAGCCACTTTTACAAGGAGGTTTTTTTAGGAGTTGATAGATACAATTTTGATTATTCTTAGAGAGGACGAAAAGAGAAGAGGAGGCTAGAGACACATTCTTGGGAGGTCTTCCATCTACTTCAAGAAGAAGAGCATTTCTACCATGGAGATAGCTCTTGAGGGTTGGAGGACACCATTCATGAGTGGCTAGACATCCTCTTGGGGCTAGAGTTAGCCCTAAGCATGCTTTCTTTACCTTGATTTATGTATCTTTGAGGGGATTTGTATTGTAATACATGTTTTGACATATTTATATACATAGATCTTGTTTATTCAATGATTTGTGTGGTTTAATTCTTCCAATTGATCATTTCATTCTATCCATATGTTTATGTATGCTAGAATAGATGTTCATGTGTTTATCTCTTTCTCTTGTGTTGTTGATGCATGTCTATGTGTGTTGATGCTATAGATCTAGAGATTGTCAAGACATAGTGCTTAATAAAATGCTCTTGTGGTTTATTTGATGGTTCATACTCATTTCTTGATGGATTGTGCCTCTCCCTTAGTTTAATTAGTTTAATTTTCATGTCATTAGCTTAGATGTAATGTAGTTACCTTAGTTGTTAAATGGGAGGACAATCCATACTTGTTGTTTGATGTTCCATACTTATGAATGCAAGTAGTATATTTCTCTATTTATGTGATGTGTTTGGATTGTGAACTTAAAGGAAGGATTAATGGCTTAGTTTGATATATTGTGCTATTCATTGTGTACACACACTCACTATTGTTGCAACATATGTTTTTCCCCTCATTAATTATGAATTGAGTGTATAGAAAAGTGATACTTAGTGGTGATCTCTAAGTCCCAAAACCTCTCTCTCTTGTTTTCTCTATCCTTTAATTACTTGTTTTATATTGAGCTTGCTTAATCTTAATTGTAGTTTAACAACCAAATAATCTACCTTTGATCACTGGACCTACTAACCCTAAGCATTTTTTCCATTACTAGTAGCCCTCTAATCCCTTGGGACGATCCCTATTCACCCTTGCTACATTAGTAGTAGTGGTAGTAGTGGCATTTAAAAATTTAAACTTGACCCGAAAGGCTTTACTTGAACCGTGCATTCACTACATTATTTTGACGTATTGGAACGGCCACCGTCAGTATCTGAAATTTAAGATGAAAACCCAATCTCTGAAATAATATGGTAGAATGTAATTAAAAAATTCTGGCTGCTGTAATTAGAATAAATTTATATGCTCACCAAAATAAGAATTTCATAGACCTATTCCTGCACCAAACACGTTGTGTTGATAGTTGTACTCATTTGGGATTTTAAATGATAAATGTGATATGGCTTCAGAATGTTGTGATCAAAAAGAATAAAAAGAGATAGATTTGACTGGATGGTCCTATGGATCATGTCTATAGTTTTAATTGCATGGTCATATGGAATGTGAACCAAACACCCTGTTATTGATCAGTGAAGTCTTTGATGATGGAGAAAAATAGGGGAAAAAAAAGAAATAAGAAATAAGAACATTGCCTAGTACATGTACTGCCTATGTGTGGTGTTGGGAGGAGAAGACTGACTTGACCTTTTGATATTATTTTGTATAAAGTGGCTGCTCTAAGGACTTGAACTCCCGCCCTTATGCTTGCCAGTCCAAGTTTTGATTTTACCATTGCACTAAGCAATGGCAACTTGAAAAAATCTCTTCCACAATGCCATCAAAAAAAAAAAATTAAAAAGAAAAGAAAAAAAAAAGAAGAAGAAGAAAAGAAAAGAGAAGTAACAGTAAATAAAACGACAATTTAGATGTTGTCTTGCAACTGCATAAGCACATTTAAAAAAAAAAAATTTCACACTCGATTGAATTTTGATCCCAAAGATATTACAACCCGTAAGATATCTAAAATTGTCCATGCAGTAACTCTGCTCAAGAAGACAAAGTTTAAGGAATTCTAAATCTTACTTTATGTTAAATTTTTGTACCTGACTGTTCCGATATGGAACTTCCACAGAAATTTATTGCAGTTCTAGATGAAAACTCAAATGTAAAAGTTTGAGATAAAATAAACTTAAACTGTTCTTAACTTGATTGTTGGCAACTTAAGAGCAAGGCTTTTTATTCTAGAAGTTTATCTCTACGAGAAACCTTAAATTTACAAAAGCAATGGTTGATGGATATCCAAGCGTTAGATTTTTTTTTTTTCTTTCTAGAGTTTCAATTAAATGGCGGGACTTTTCTCATTTTCTCCTGTGATTGATGAACTTCAGACATTCTGAAAATCAAAGGCTTTCCAGGTAAACTTTAGCCTCTACAAGTATAATTTTAAAGCATCAACTCTAGGAGCCAAAATTTTAAACTTCAGTTTTGACCAAACTCCTATCATGTAAATATGGAACTAATCTGTGCTGATTCATATACTACAAAATCATGCGACTTGTCAAATCTCATCCTTTAGCCACTATGCTCCACTACCGGTGATGACACAGAATATAGCTAATAGAGTTGTTCATTCTAGTGATGATTAAAGAAAATTTTCTTCTTTCAAGTCCTTATTGATGTACTTAAATACAAACATGTATATAAATTAGGCAAACAATTTCAAAAGATTAAAGTGGCAAAATCAACATTGACGCAGGGCACTGAAACTGTGACATTTCAAGGCACTCGGAAGAGTTTCAGTTAGTTCATGGAGAGACTTAATATGATCTATATCTTTGAAGTCTAAATAATATTTTAATGAATCACCTTGGTTCAATGTTTTACGACTAATATTCTGAAATATGTTGTAAATAGAATGTCTGTCATAAACAAATCATAAAATCCACAGATTAGATCTCATTATTTGTTGAAAAGGTGAATAGCCAGATTACCAATAAAACATATTTCATAACTTTTCACGTGCTACGAAATGCGAAACAGTAATGCACATTTTGACAGGTTCTTTATCACTATAACCTTTCACATGCTATGAAATACAGTAAGGAAACAGAAATGCATATTTCGACAGGTTCTTTATCAAAATATACTGTTTTAACTACTTACCAAATAATATATATATATACACACATGCACACACACTTTTAATTAACTGGAATCTATAAGCTTGCAACACAAAATAATTTTGAGATACATCCGAATAATATCTTCTTCGATGCAAAATGAGTACCTTCTGCTAAGCTTATAATTATATTTTCTCGGTGCCATGTACTCTGGTGTAATCTATCAGTTTCATAACATGGAGGTATAAATGGTATTATTTATATGGAAACATGTACCCCAGGAAGCACGGACATGCCTAAAAGGTCGAAGAATCCGTGTTGGACGCCGACACGCATTGGACACGACCCAACATGTGTCGGACATGCCAAAATATGTGTCTGGAAAATTTTTTTTTTTTTTGGACACACCGCGGACACGTCATAGACACGCCATGGACACGTGTCTGACACACATATCGTATCATTAGGGAGATATGATGACTTCTTTGAATTTCTTTTATAAAATATGGCGGTCAAAACATATAATACTTCAAGTTTTTTGTTTTAAAAGATAGTAGATTCAATTGTGTAGTTCTTTAACCAATAGACTAATTATTTTTATAGCTCATTAATTATTATGATTTGTGACTTTTTCATTGTTAGGTTGATGAAATATAATATTACTATAGGATCATATATATAAAAAGATATATTTATTAGTCGGTGTGTCCGTTTGCTAATTTTTCACAATTTGTCTTGTCGTTGTGTCCGTGTCATGTCGTATCTATGTCCCGTATCCGCATCCATGCTTCTTAGCATATACCCTTATTTACTCCATAGAAGAAGTTAAATGAGCCACACTGCTCACAGTGTCCAATATCAAGTTATCAATGTATAGCTAAGTGTTTTACCTATAAAAAAAAACGTATAGCTAAGTGTGACACAAAAAGGCTCCAGTAGAATATTTAATTTGCATATTTAAGAAACAATGACAATACACAATAGAGTGATTAAATTTATGATAACGAGAAACGAATTAGATTGCTCACCTCTTTTGAAATCAATTCCTCACTCTTAGATTGCAATAAGCGAAGTGCAGAGGCAAGCTCCAGCTCCATGTGCTGAATGCGAGTTCGTATATGACTGTGATCTATATTTTTTCGTCCGTCTAAAGCTTCAGAAGCATCCTTTTCCACACCCATTTGGTTTTCATCGAAAGATATTTCACCAGCTGCAGATTTTGTGTGTGCAGGTCATGTTCCAAATACTGACCACTTTATTTATATCTAAATTAGAAAGTGAAATACCTTCAAATTCTACATTTGAAAATCCTGCCCGCTGAATGCTCCAAGTTCTCCACATTTCTGGCTTAAGTGAGTTTTTTGAACCATCACAATCTGAGACATTTCTGTTATGGCTAAGCTTGCCCCCTGAATCATTGAACATGTCTTTCTTAGGGCTACTCAATCTGAGTCCACTGCTTCTTTCAAAGTCAGGCTAGTCAGCACTGACTTTTACAAACACCGCAAAGTACATTTTAGAATGTTCATACAAACTACAATGAGAGGAAGTCATTCATCAAACTCTAAAATGGTAACTATGTATCCAATGGTGATGCTACAACAGCGGTTTCCATTCAGCAGTTCCCACAAGAAAAAATATTTATCAAGAAAACCAGTTCCATCTATATAAGAATACAAAACAAATGAATGTCTATGAATAAAGATGATAACAACATTAACTTAAATTGCAAAGTTTAGAATTTAATTCTTCAGTGTATTCCACATACAGATTCCAAGGGATAATAAACCATGGATAAAGTTCTAATCTTTAAGATATGTGATCACAAAGCAACTTAATTTAGAACAAGTAACAAAAACTTACCCGCATCCGTATGGGCATCAAAATGCAGGTCACCTTCATCATTTCTACTCGAAATATGAGTACTATCTCCTCTTTTCGCCAAATTAATGCCAAAAACCAAATTTCTCTGCTTCTCCAAACGACCTAATATTCCCTCAATCCCAGTATCTTCATCAATTCCTAGTTCCCTGCACAATATTATCATCTCAGTTATATACTTTTTTTTTTGATAAGTAGTTATATACTTATATAACATCTCAATATATTTAGTACATAAATGTGTAACACTTGCAATAGATCATCAAATGGGCATTCAAAAAATTCTTTAACCAGAAAATCAAAGAGTTTTGAAAATGAGAAAATGGAAGAGTAATTGCATATAGGAACCTCACAGTGAGCTACCAGAAGGTGAAGCGGACTCGGAGCAATTTACAGAAGCAGAAGAAAATTCAAAAGACCCATCTTCAGCCCTGTCAAAAGAGTTACTCTCCTGACAACTCTCAACCCTCTGATTGAATTCCCCAATATTAACACCATCGAAAACACCACCATCCCAATTTCTTGCCTCTTGAACCTTATCTTCATCATAATCACCATCCGAATCCCAACCAAGAGACAGCCAACCACCTCTCGTCACAATGGCCTCCACCAAATCCATCCTCCCCCCATCCACCAGCTCTTTCTTCGTTGGAAACACCGCCGGCTTCTTTGAATTCTCCATGAACTCCAAAATCTCCGCCTCCAACGCCAAGTCCCCTTCACTTTCCCAATCCTTACACCAACAACACCAAGAACTCCCGTAACGTCTCCTCCTCCAATCCAGAAACCTCAAAGAACCACTTTGCTTCGCCGTAACGAGCTGGAAACACGCGGCCTCCGGTCCTCGCCGCCGTGGAAGAAGACTTCTTCTTGGACTGACCAAGGAAGCAAGAGAAGAAATGGCGGGAAAGTTCAAATCTCGGACGAAGAGGGGCGAGACGATGAGTTGATTGGTGGAGGTGATAAGCGACAGCATCGTTCAGGCATTTCGTCGAACACTTGGAGCTGCCAAAATTGCAGTCCCAGAGACGCTCGCCCCGAAAGGAGAGAAGGACGAGTACTGAAGCAACGAACAAAGCAGTACCGAAAAGCGTAGACGCATTAATGAATAGTACTCTTCACATATATATATATATATATATATAGATAGGTAGATATATATAGAAATATATATGGCGGGGAAACTGTGAAACTGGTATCTATTTTTACCTATTTGGGTTCCGTTATGTCGTATGTGTGTGGTTTGCGTAAGGGCGTGTTTGTCTGCGAGTGAATTTTGGCTAGATTGAGTTGTTTTGGGACCCAATTCCTTTCTTTTCTACTTTTGTTCTCATTGTACACCTTTAAATTGTCAATGCAATCAATATCCTCTCTCCCGCAAAAAAATTGCCCCCCATTTCATTTTTCTTTGCCTCAATTCAAAATTCCTAATTTACGTCATAAAAAACATTAAAATCTACTATATTATTGAAAAATCGGATATCCAAATAGACACAATTTCTTTTTATTTTTTTATTTTTTGGGACAGAGAGTATCATTACGTGAATGCAACATACTCGTGCAATATATTTACATCTAAAATGTTACACTAGAATATATTATATTAACAACAATATATTATATAAAGGGCTTGTCTGGTATGCTAATAAAATAAATATAAAAAAAAACATTTTTTTTTATGTTGAATTTGTTGAAGGTAGTTCGTGAGTAGGATGAGGACATCATTCTATGTAAGCCAAGAAATCTGAGATCAGTATCCAAGTGGAGATTCAAGTAACACAAGGGATTCTCTAGGTATGGAGATTAAGAAAGAGAAGGCCGACCTCGGTACCGTATGAGCTCGAGCTTGTCAGAGAATAGCTATTAATGTTGTTGTTGTGTGTTTTAAAGGCTGATTAACACCCCCTATTTATAGTGTTTATCTCCTCGGTCAATGTCTTTCAGTCTTTTGGGTGAGCCCGCTCTTACCCAAGGGTTCGAGGGTCTTTCCCTCTGACGGATGAGACATTGATGGATGGGTCGCAATGCTTTGCCCCCTAATTAGAAGAGGTAATGGCGCTCCTTAATTAATATGGATCTTATCAAACGTCTTTCGCAATTAATGCATTCTTTATCCTTCTTACTCGAGCTTGGGTACCAAGTATCCTTTCCCCCTTGTGTTGGCATCGAACTGAGGCGAGCCCTTGGGTCTCAGCCACCTGTCCACATGTCCTCAGATTCCCGAATTCCAGAGGAAGAAAGCCTTCCTCTAGGTCCTGCCTTCATGACCTCGCAAAGCCTTATCCCAATTTATAGTTCGAGGTCCCCAATGGCCAAAAAAGGAGACTCGCAAAGCAGGTTAGCCGAGGTTGCCACTTTCAGAAGGCAACCTCGGTCGAAACGGCCAGGGGGCGAGGGTGGGGGTAGGGGAGGAGCCCATCCTACTTGAGCGGGGCATGTCCACAGAAGGAAAGGGTAGCGACCTCTTTCTCGGCCAGTGAGTTCAGTTATAGGACGAGTAGCTCGAGAATACTGTCCTTATTGTAAGTATGCCAAGTAAGCATTGGCTAGTTATACCTATTTTGCAGAGGTGTCGCCATTTAAGCAGCTATCGTGGCGCGACCATCAATAGAATTATAATAAATTTGTTGTTAGTAAAAAGTATTTTAAATTTTTTGTGATACATTATATAAAGTATTCTACGACAAAGAGTCATGATACTAATATTTTACCTGAGTGGGAATGACTTCTTGATGATGACGACCTTCCACAGGATCAATTAAAACAATCGAAACTATCCCAATGAACTCTAAATAATTTTTCTTTTACTTGTACGGATAAAGCATTTTTTTTTAATTTGTTTACATCAATATTGTTTAAAGTGCTTTTATTGTTAATTTTTAAATAACATCTTTTAATAGAGTGTTGCTATATTTAATAGTAGCACAATTTTTATAGAAAAATTGATGAGATTATCTTTACTCAAATTGCAGTTTTTTAAAAGACAAAAATTTTAATTTTATTCAAAAAAAATATATATATTTGCTAAGGTTGCCAATCCCAAATAGATTATAAATTGCAACACTGCAATGCAATTTTTTTTTTTTTCTTTTGCAAGGTAAGAAGAATTTAGAAGTTAGATTATTAAGTATAGAGAGTCAAAACCTTAGATTATTAAGTGTAGAGAGTCAAAACCTTACATAATTATTTTTTTATCCTGTAAGTCTTGTTAGGATAATCGGTCGCGAAAGAATTTCATATGGTTCTTTCGGTCAGTTTATATTGATTTTGTCTGAATTCATTACACTATGATTGCGATAAAGGACGAATCCATAAATTATCAATGGGAATTGGTGACTAATATTAAGAATTTAGGATTTATTTGGCTTGAGTCTTTATTTTAAAATTGTGACTTAGATCTTGGGATTGTTTGAATGTGTTAAATTTGGGAAGGTTATTAATTAATTTATTTATTTATTTTTAATCGAACTAAATTTACCTAACCCAGCATCCGCCCTTGATTACGACCGCTACTGCAAACGCGTCTACCATTTATCTAAAGAAAGTGCAATTTTTAGGGAGTGGGGACACTAGCTAGGGAGTGACTAGTGAGGTTTAGCATCCAACAGGTCACACCAGTGATAAGATAGCTCAATCTTTTGAGAATTCACGTGCCCGTCGAAGGAAGAATGATGTGATGTGGGATATTTATCTAAAATCTTGTCATTTTATAACAAAATTTATTTTTATTATAGCTACCGACTAAATCAAGCACCACATGCCAAGAAGTGTCATAATGACTCATGACTTGTGGACGCTATATTGAGTTCTGATCCAATAGGAAGTTTTCTCATCAAGATTGTAGGCCTAGACGCCTTCACACCATACAACAAGACAACACACACTAGTAGATCAACTTTGAAGGTACTTGCTATCAATGATGACCATATGCGATTGTGGATGAACTTCGAAGGTTGCTAGCAATGGTGAAGATTATGCAATTGGGGCTCAAATTTGAATGTTAATACCAATATTGATGATTATGCTGTTGTAAGCTTAAGTGTTTCGATAGCGTGAGTCATGTTATATATGTCTCAAATTTTTATTGGGTTGGATTTTAAGTTGTATTCGTTTGAAGATGTTTTATTTAGATGCAAAGTAATTTTACTTATATCCCTAGAACTTGTATTCTTTGTCAAGCTAGGGATTAGAATTAAGCTCTTTACATAGAGACCCTGTGTTTTGAGTTGAGGGGTGTGAGGAGAGTATCCATTTCCAGAGAAGAGAGCGTATGTGTGGAATATCTCTCGGTAATTCATTAAGATTTGTACTCTTCATAATTTGAATAGAAAAGTTAATTGTTCTTCATCCGTGGACGTAGGCAATTTGTTAAATTACGTAAATCTTAACTTGTTTGTATGTGTTATTTCCATCTTATTTTGCATATTTATTGTGTGATATATTGGATGGATTAATTTTTAAGAAGTGGTATCAAGTCATGGCGACAACTACCAACGACATAATGTACGCGGGCGAAAAATTTGATAGGAGAAAGAAATTTAGTCTTTGGCAAGTTTGGATGCGAGATCTATTAGTTCAACAAGGTTTAAAAGAGGCATTGGACGACAAATCTGTTGGGATTTATGTGGTTTATATCAATTATATGGACTATAATAGACATTTTTGTTTAATGGAATCTTTGGTTTAATGCTTTATGTATATACGGTGAATAATGCATATTGATAAATCCATCAGATGGATTGAAAGTGTCCCATGACCATACGGTTTGATTCATGAGTGTGATGGGTGTAATACATGGGTCATAATGAATCAGGGATACACCGTCTTCTCAATTTACACATTAAATTCAGTAATAGAAGATGAACTCTCTATCCGTAAAGGATTGAACTGGATCGACGATGTGTTGAAAGATTTCAATATGCATCATAACAATTTATCCCTCATCAATTAGCTAGGGAGCTTTCTATAGAAATACACATTCATATACACTATATCTCTCTATATTGATTCTTACAAATCAAAGGTTTAAGGACCTCTAATGGGGACATAGAGGTGAAAACTTTTGGGTGTTGATATTGGAGGTGCTACAACTACAAGGGAGGAAGGAGCAATTCAAGCTTAAGGAAGGATATTCTCTATTCTTGGAATTTGAAATTTGGAATTTGGTTCTTCAAGGGTATAATATTCTTACCTTTGTTTGATTCTTGGCCATCCATTAATTTTGAAAAGTACTATTAATCACTAAATAATGTTTTACATGTTTTCGTCTCTAAGACCTGTTTCCATCAAAACCAACGGAGATAGATGATAGAAAGTAGGACAAGATAAACTCGAAAGCGGTGAGTGTTATTAAATTGACCTTGATAGATAATGTAGTGTACAATGTGATAGGAGAATACATTCTTAGTGGCAAATATGTGAAAGAAGTTAAAGTATTTCTATATGGAAAAGAATCTCACCAATCGGCTAATCTTAAAACAAGAGTTGTACTCTTTTCACAAAAAAGAAGGTGGGGATGGCAACGGGGGATGGTTTTGGGTGGGTGTACCCTCCCTTGCCCCCGCCCAAAACCGGCTAAACAGGGAATCTTCACACCCCATCTCTGTCTTGATTATTTTTTTTTACCCCGCCCGTCCCGCCCCGTTTAGTCCCAGAATTTTTCAGCCTTTTCGAGTTTTTTGCCCCTCAAACACAATTATATAACTATTAAAAATTTATAAAAAAAAGGTCATCAATACTTTAACATAAAATTCAACATTACAAATATTGAATGAGAATATGAGACCTAGGGTTTCTAATATTACACGTATACTAATAAAATAAGAAAATTTAATAATTTATCTACCTAAACGGAGGGGAGCGACTACCCCAAACCTGCGTTGGTTTTTATTAGTAAAACCATTCCCGTCCAAATAAGTTAAATGGTCCCCAAAACCGCTATAAACGAGGCAGGGCGGGGTGAGTACCCACCCTCGCGGGGCAAATTGCCATCCCTATGCGTAGACTTACATGCCCATACTAGCGAGTTTAACAAGATTATTTATGACTTATCTAATGTTGGTGTTAAATTAAGTTGTAGGGAGAAAACTACTATCTTATTATAGTTGGTAAGGTGTTTACGGAAAACAATTCTTCTTGAAATTGTAATCCTCATATTTAGAATAGAAAAGTTAGTCCTTCTTCGCCTATAAATGCAGGCAATTTATCAAACTACCTAAATTTTGTCTTATTTGTTTGTGTTATTTTCCTCATATTTTTTATTTATTGCCATTGCATATTTGTTATGTATGATCTTGCAAGATTAATTCATAACAAGTTTTACAATGAAACCCGCACCA